AAGCAAATTGGCTTAATGCCTTGTGCTTGATTTTATAAAGTAGCCAAGCACTGCAGGCTTTTGGCAAATACTCTTGCTTGAACAAATGCTTTTGTGTGTTACGCTAGTCAGTCATTGTGTCTGTCATTTTTATCTTCCTCTCTATTTTTTCATAGCTTCAATGTTTTAATCTTTTATTTCAAGTCTAACTTGGCCTTTATATAACAATGGATTTTGCCAACTTTCCTGGAAGCTGCGCTGATTCAATACATTCAGGCTTCTTGGGGAACTTGGTTTCAGTTGGAAAGTTTCTAAATTATGGGAAAATACTGTTTGCATGGCACTCATTTACAAGATGGCATGGTATGTGAAAGAACAGGTGTGAAAAATGAAGTGAATAAAATTGCTTTTGAAATACAAATGGGCATTTCATGGGCTTCTGTCAGGAGAATGTCTTTTCTAAACTGTACTAAGTATTTAATTTTTCTTTTTAGCTGGATGTTTTCGTTCTGAAATTAAATTACATAATATTTCTTTACATGCTTAGTTTTAAATTAAAATTCATAATTAAGCTTAATATGAAGTTACAAGATTTGATTTAATGCTTTCTTCCAGTGCCTGAACTAATGTACACTGTATTAGAAGGTGCAGTCGTCATTGAGAAGCTTTGTTCTTTTAACAAAAGGTACCAAAAATAAATTTGGTTAGGGTCATAGTGGTCTAGTTTAATACTGTTATGATAATAAGTCCTATAATTACTTTCAGGTAGTTCTTCCTTCCCAGAGGATGAGGTTTTTAGTTTTGATGTCTGCTTAAAGCATGAGGATGACAGTAAAATTAATGTCATAACCTTTACAGCCTATTTATCGCTTTCTCTGTAATATCCTAAAGGATTTTGTGTAACATCTAAGATAAATGTCTTAGTATGGACAAGCATCGAATTAGGTTAATTGGGTTCAACTGATATTCATATTCAGTGTGTCTATCAGGACACCTGTTTCATATAAAAGACCTGTGGGTATCTTCCTGTGAAAATTGCTTTGAAATTATTACATGTATATGCTCTGCTTCCTTTGATTGTTAAAGACTGAGTTACAGTATGGGATTTTTTTTCCAGTTTGCTTGCTATTTTTGCCTCTTAGGAATAGTGAAATTTATCCTTTCATTCTCTGGTAACATAAGGAATAGTACAGGCATGATAGAGCTTATTTTATGGCATTAGGAGAGATTTTACTTTCTAATTCTGTCCAACTTCAATGCCACTTCACTAGAAATTCTTGTAATAGATTTCTTTTCATCTCTGAGTAGTCAGCAGCAGATTTCTAGAAAACTGATTTGAGTTCTGGAATACTGTGACTTGAATGATTTTATTTAGTGTCTTATGGTAGAGTTATATACTGAGCAAAACAAATGTTAAGATTATATAGAATTTTTAAATCTTCATTGTTTTGATAAGCTCTTAAGTGGAGAATAATTTATGATATTGGCAGATAGAAATTTGTGTATTTGGAAAGAGCCAGTATTGGACTCAAATGTAACCAGGAAAGAGTGAAAGAACATTTGCCTCTTCAGTATTCAATGAGAACATATGACATACTGAATTATTAGTTGCTGACCAGCCAAAAATTTTTTCTGGATGTAAGAATGTAAAAGAGGTACAAAATTAAATTAATAATTTTAGTTCTAAGCATAGCTTTTTTTGAACACCAGCATGTTGTTTTGGTTTTTTGGGTTGTTTTTTTTTTTTTTGTTTTGTTTTGTTTTGTTTTTTTTTAATGGGAAGTAGTCATACCAAGTCAGATTTATAGTGAAGTGGGAAAAATACCCCCAAACCTGCTCAGGGCAGGCATAAGTAGTTTTGTGGATGTTATAATCTTCAAATTCTAAAAGTTTCAATCAATGTACTATACAGAACTTTTTGATGAGACTGTATTTTATGTTTAGGATGTGCATAAAATGTGTGTAGATAATAAATATCTGTTAAACATGAGCCTAGCAGAAAGTGTCAAAAACTGTCAGAGAAAGGATCAAAAAGACAGGATCACAACTGATGTATTTGAAAACAGTGTAAAACACAGATGGGACCAATGCACAATGTTTATGGTTTGCTTTGTAAACTATATGTAGTCAAAGAAAACATACTTTAACACAGCAATATATATAAGGATGGATAGAAAGATTTGAAAGGATAAGAATTTGTCCTGATTTCAGAATCTTGAGCTCTTCAGTTTTTCCAAAAAGAGAGGTTACTTGATTAAATATCTCCAAATATAAAATGTAGTGAAAGGTACTTTCATATAACAACAATAATAACAATATTATTCATTAATTGCTAAAAGAAATTATCAGTGTTAATTGGAGAAATTACACTCTTTTAAAATTATTATGATTATTATTAAGAGCGGGTGATCATTGTCTGTCAAATAAGCACTGATTTTCTAGGTTAATACCATTACCTTGCTGCAGTTAGAGTTGAATTCAAATCAGAGATGCCTCTATAAAATGTTTGGATTTATATGATCCAATTTTGTATTGTAGTGTTAGGGTTTGTGAATGTGTCTGGGAAGAACATTGGAAAAATATCTGGAGCTTCTGTTTCCACATAGTATTCTAAGAATTGTTGAACTGCATCCTGAAGTCTGGTTTGTTATAATTCTAAAAGTAGATGATAGCTATAAATGGGGCACCCTCTTAACATGATTTAATGCTCCCATACACAGGGAAGGAACATGGAAACCTAAAAACAATGTGACTTTGAAATAATAATTTTGAGAAGCTTTATTTGAATATAATTTCTCAAATTGTTTTTACAAGAATATGTGTTGCTTTAAAGATTTCAGAGTGTTCTGAAGTCCTGTAAATACTAAGGGGGAAGAAAAACTTCAGACTTTGGTTCTCTGAAAAGCTCTTATTGATCAATATGGCCTTAAAGAAGGATGTCTTAAAATGTGGTGACAGACAAGTTGGAAACCCACACTGATTTCTGGAAGTGTCTCGCCATTCCAAAATTATACCGATGTGGCCTGTTCCATTCTTGGATGTGTAGAGGGAGCTGTCTGTGTGTTCCCACAACATCAAACTGCATTTAGATGAGCCAGTGTGTGAGTGCTGGGCCTGACAGCTCATGGCTTGGCTGCTTAAGTACCACGGACAGAGGCTCTTTGAGGCAGCTGGGGATCTGCTGATGGGCATCAGCGAGCCCCTGCCAGGAGGTGCTGGTTGATGTACCAGAGCTGCATGTTAGCTATGGCTCAGAACAGAAGATACAGGTACCAGAGAGCTTCACCTGTTTGCTGTGTGAGAGGTCTCCTCACAGCAGCCATGCTCATTGTTCATCCATGCTTTGATGTTGAACTTCCTGAGAATGGAGTTGGTTTTCTTTTCTTTTTACTGCTACCTACAGAACAGTCTTCTTCCAGAACCTCACCATTGCTTTTTGAGAGTCAGTTGCATGATAGTAAAGAAATATGTTCAAGGCTTATTTTGTTTGGTATTTGCATCACTATTTGTCCTATGCATTCTGTGTTTAACCAAAACTAGTCTTTGGGACATCATGTGGTCAAAAGATGTGTCCTGAGTGCATGTCTGGCATGTCCTTGGTGTAAGATTCTTGTGCCTGTTAAATTGGTCAGGAAAGTCAGCAATCTCCACATCTGTACAGCTGGCTTTGTTTGTGGGAATGTTGTAGATGTTCACTATGTATATATGAAAGCCAAGATCTGAGTAAACCCCCAAGAAGTTTTAGTTCCATCTGTGTCAGTCAATGGACTTTTCTGTTACCTTCCCAAAGCCTCTGGCTGCATCAGGAGAACAAGAGCTTCATACCCTTTGTGATGTCTAATATGTTAGTGGTGTTCCGTTGAACCAAACTATTATGCAGCCATTCCGAAAGCTAGGCCATTTTATGAAAAATAAATCTAAGTGAAGAACAGCAGTTTTATATTGTCATTGTATTATCCTGTGTCTTTCTTCCCTGACTGTTGAATCCCACTTCACCAGAGCTTGAACAGCACACTCAACTGCACTGGAAAGAAGTAGCCAACTCTTAATTTACTGGGTGGCCATTTGATGTAAAACCATTTTGTCAAATGCAGTGTGTCACATCTTGCTGTAAGTACCATCAGCACATTCAGGACAGGTGGCAGTGTAATGTTTGGTTCACAAGAGCAAGGTAGTGTCTTCATTGTAGCATCCATGGAAGTCTGCTGGTCAGACAGCTATGTGGGATCCATGCAGTCACATAGAATCACAATGGTTTGGGTTGGAAGGGACCCTAAAGGCCCCACCGAGTCCCAGCAGCCCTGCCTGGGCAGGTAACCTTCTGCTAGATCACACTGCTCAAAGCTGCATCCAGCTTGGCCTTGGTGAGACATTGACAGCTTCTCTAGGAAAACTGTTCCAGTGCTTCACCACCTTTACAGTAAAGAATTTCTTCCTAGTATCTAATCTAAACCGTTCCTCTTTCAGTTTAATGCCAATACCCCTTGTCCTATCTGCAGATGCACTTGTAAAAAGTCCACTCCAGCTTTTCTGTTGGCTGTCTTTAGGTACTGGAAGGTGCTATAAGGTCTCCTTGGAGCCTTCTTTTCTTCAGGCTGATCAGCCCCAGCTCTGTCTTCATAGAGGGTTGCTTTAGCCCTGTGATCAGCGTTGGGGCTCTCCTCTGGATCCTCCCCAACAGGTCCACATGTTTGAAAGGAAATGATTGCTTAACCCTGTATTGTTTGTGATTATTCTGAATGTATTGCCATGTGGGGATTCATGACTGTCCTCTTTTCTGGCTTTAAGAAGGTTGCTTAATCACAAAAAGCCTAAGTTAGTAATGTTGAAATATGGAGAGCACACATGAGGGTCCAAAGAAACCCTTGGTTTAAATCTCTGGTGGTGTTTTCTTGAGAGCTATGGACATATTGGGATCCATTCTGAAGTACAAGTCTGGAAACTATTGCCATTGTCCTGTTCATTTTTTGTTAGTTTCTAAGAAATTATCAGAGCTTCTAAGTATCTGTATTTCTTTCTAGGAACATTGTCGTAACTGTTAAAGGGCGTAATGCAGAATCCGTTAACAGTTTCTGCAGGTATAGTATGCTTTCTATACTTTATTTAGAAATTAGATGCTTGTGATTCAAAATGTTGAAGAAATATCATTATTATTAATCAGTATATTACTTGTGTCTAGTATTCTGCTGTGGTATGATTTGGAAAAAAAGAGCTGTAACTGCAGCATTTATCACTTTAAACAATTACAATAGCTAAAATTATATTCTTCTTTAGGGCATTGCTAATTACTGTTAACACCTGTAGTTGAAACTTGAAGTGCATAAATCTGCTTCTTCTTTGATTCAGCAGAATTAAGTATTCAGGTTTTATTAATTTTTAAAAAATCTTCATATGTTTGAAAATCCCTGCTATATTTGATCCCCATATTAAATGGGGTCAAAATCTATCTGCCAATTATGCTACACAGTTAGCAGAAACAGGAAGAAACATTATTTTTTTTTTTTTAAATGCCTTTTCTTCAGCATTCCCATTGTTACTATTTTTTTTCTTTTTGTTTAGTTCTTTCTTCTATGTGGTTTCTTCAAAAGTTGTCTTTAACTTGATTTAGTTTTCACTAGGGTTATGTCTTGATTTTTTCCCTCTGTTATTAGTAAGGGTATTTGTGTATTCTCAAGCCTCTAAATGTGTAGCTGTGACTTCAGTTTCCTTTCCCTTTTGATCTGTGTCTCAATGCTAATGTTTAAGTATGATTTTTAACATGAATGTAATTTTTAATGATACTTAAATGTGAGTGAACGTTTGATGGATATGACATCAGCTCTAATGGACCTTTCAGAACTATTGCTGGTTGTCAGTTAAGTTTCCATTGTTAGTACTTATGTTAATTAGGAAGAGCACTATCTATTACTTTATTTGAAGCCTTGAGCTTTTACTGTCATGTAAGTTTATACTTTACCTGCTTTGTGAGACTGAGTATTTTTATGATGCTATAATAATTCTGAGGAAGCTGTTCCAGAAGCATGTCATTCTGATTGATCTCAGTTGATAAATCTGTATCTCTTGGGATTATTCTTTCAAGGAAGACAGTACTTCCTGTTGGGTAAAGCTGCCCACCCCAGAGTGTGCTCTACATTCCCATGCTTGTGACTGAAGTACTCAATTCTAATAATTAAAAGCATTAGTTTAATTTTTCCTTTAAGTAACAGGAATTTGACCTTGGTTATACTCTTACATTAAAGCCATTTCTGAATAGTAATAGGACAATATAGACTGTTAAGCTGTATGTAAACTTCAAATCGATTAAGAATTTGCTTTGAAACTTTTTCAAAGGCTTTTTCTTTTTTCCCTCTAAATCAAAATCCATTCCAGTCAGTATCCTGTTACTGACTTGTACCCAGAGGGAATGGTAAACTTGGAAGTCAGCTTCCATGTTAGAAGTCACAGAATCACAGAATATCCTGAGTTGGAAGGGACCCACAAGGATCACAGAGTCCAACTCCTGGCCCTGCACAGCACCACCCCAGAGAGTCACACCATGTGCATGAGAGTGTTGTACAAACACTTCCTGAATTCCTTTGGGCTTGCTATTGTGACCACTGCCCTGGGGAGCCTGTCCCAGTGTCCAGCCATCCTCTGGGTGAAGAATCTTTTCTGGATATCCAGCCTAAACCTCCCCTGACACAACTTCAGGCCATTCCCTTGTGTTATGTCGCTGTTCACCAGAGAAGAGATCAGTGCCTGTCCCTCCTCTTCCCCTCACAAAACTGCAGTGAGGTCTCCCTGCAGTGTCCTCTCCCCCAGGATGAACCGACCAAGTGATCTCAGCTGCTCCTCACACGGCTTCCCCTCAAGGCCATTGACCATCTTCATTGTCCTCCTTTGGATGCTTTCTCACAGTTTTATATCCTTCTTACACTGTGGCACCCAGAGCTGTCCCCAGCACTGGAGGTGAGGCTGCCCCAGGGCAGAGCAGAGCAGGACAATCCCCTCCCTTGCCCTGCTGGCCGTGCTGTGCCTGATGTCCCCAGGACAGGGTTGGCCCTCCTGGCTGCCAGGGCACCGCTGGCTCAGGTTCAGCTTGCCATGGACCAGCACCCCCAGGTCCCTTTCTGTGGCACTGCTCTCCAGGCTCTCATTGCCCAGTCTCTGCATCCAGGGTTGCTCCATCCCAGGGGCAAAATCCAACACTTTGCCTGTTGAACTTCATGTGGCTGGTGGTTACCCAGTCCTCTTAATTTGTCGAGATCTCTCTGCAGGACCTCCCTAGATCATGACCAGGAGCTGTATCAGTGTGAAATGATGATACTCTACAAATACATTAGTCTCCATATATTTTTTTACTCTGATACTTCTTTGTCTTCATATCAAGTATCACTTGTTTCTTAAATGTAGCACTTTGAAAACATGCAGGGTACTAGTGATTTGTGATGATTTATGTACAGCCCTTATGTTGGTACATTTCTTACAAATAAAACTTTAGGAAATAGATTAGATTGGAAATAGAACCTATCCATCAGTTACGTTCAGTGTGGCATATTTGTCAGTGTTTCTGTACTTTGAGTGTACTTGTTATTTTTCAGTTAAGTATGGAAGTAATGATTAGTGCAAGGTCTTTGAGTGACAGCTAAACGCTTCACTGCTGTCATGTAATAGCAGGTGTTCTGTAATTTAATCCGTACTCCTTCAAGATATCTGTATTTTTCTCAGTTTTAAAATATTTTATAAGAAGCATGACTATCTTTTAAGTAGCAAGCAATTGTAACACCATGTTCAATTAGATGCACTTTTCTGAACAATAAGTATCTAACTTGTCAAATTTTATTTCTTCCTCAGGATTATGAAATTATCATTTCATTAATATAACAACATATGACATGACAACAATCATTGAAGCATATTATATTTGACTATTCACACTTAAATATTTACCGTTGAGCAAGTGTTGGTATTTTTTATAATGCTCCATCATGGCATACAATACTGCTGTGCCTTAGTGAACTGAAATACTGATGGCATTGTCAGATTTATAAAATATTTTTGTTAAATTACTCTAACATGAAAGAATTGTATATATTAGAGAAATATTTTGCAAAATATAAGGCTGTCCTGGTTTATTTATCTAATAGGTTTTGTCTTTTTAAAATATCCATTGGAGAAGGGTATCACACGCTAAAGTAATAGTTTTGTTCTTTGAGTATGTTTAACTTTTTTAGAATCATAGGTCAAGTGTGGTTCTGCACACTTTGTATCCATGTTAGTATGGTTGTTTGGTGCTGGGAGATCTCAAACTTCCATTAGCCTTGTAAATGTGTTTCTTAGCATCAGATCTCACTTTGCTGGAACCCCTGCTGCCTTTGTATCATTAACATAAATGCAGGTGCAAATAGCATTTATGTACTTTGATAGAAAGCAGTTGGAGACGTTTCACTGTGGGACACGACACTTTCAGATTGTGTACATCTGTTCAAATAATGTATCCAAGCCAGTGACATGAATGCAAGGATAAAAACATCTGCCCCTGAGACCATTTGCCATACAGCAGATGCTTGCATCTTTATTTATGCAGATGGTTTGTGTGATGAGCTGAGCAATGATGAAAGCGAGAAAGTTTGACAAAGATTTCAGGGTATTCCTTGGGATGGGAAAATATGTTGGAGACAGTGCTTTGTTTTCATGTGTCTAATGAAAGAAGAACATCTAGTGTAAATACTGGTGGTTCTAGTAATATGGACGTGCCATTTTGGGATATTTTTTAATCTCAAGCACAATAATTGTACTGCAGTTATAGAAGATACTAATAGAAGTAATTACTTTCAAACAGGAGGGCTCAGCTGCTTAGCTTTACGGTGCTCTGAAGTTAAAGCAAAACAATGAATTGACTGAAGAGGTTGCAGAGGTAGAATGTTTTGAAATACTAAGGTAACTCGTCACAAAGTTGTTCGGAGGTTGGGTGCGGTTCTGTACCCGATTCTGCAGCTTGGGGGATTTTTCAGGACAAGCCGTATTTAACATTACAAAAATATTAGGCAAATTATTAGGCCTATTATTAGGCCTGTGTGTTGTTTGAAACCGACAGCGGGGCCGTGGCCGTGGGGCGCGGCTCCGGGCCGGGCCGGCGCCTGCGGAGCGGGGCGGCGGGACGGGCACCGACTCCCTCTGCTGGCTCCGCTCCCGGCTCCCGTGCGCCGCTCGGACACGGACACGGACACGGACACGGACACGGACACGGACACGGACACGGCCGGCTAAGGGCGGCATCCTTCGCTTCCATCCTCCACTGCCAGGCCTTGCTGATCCATTATCACCTGTCAGCAGTGTATTCCACAGCTCCTTTGCAGCACATCCAGCCCCTTGAGAGCCAGCGCTGCCTTTAAACAGCATGGTGGCTGGCATGGGCAAGTTAGCAATGCCAATAAGCATTGCAAATAATTGTAATTGTGCACTGGGGGAGGAAAATCAGTCAGATACTGTAATTTGAATTGTTTTCTGCTGCATCCTACTGCCAGTGAGGTCTAGCTGTGTCCAAGTTCAGCAGCAAGTGATAATTTTATATGTTACAAAAATTAATATTTGCCTAGCCAGGACCATAGCATTCCAGAAGATGTTTTAGTTTTCCTATGCTATGCAGATCCATCTATCTTTGAAAAAATATACATAATGTGGAGATCCTCTAATCTTTATTTTAGTTTTAATCTTCAGCAGAATTAACTACAGGTAACAATGTTTTGTGTATCTCAGCTAGAGCTGGGGAGTTTTTCTGAAGAAATCTGGCTCCTAAAGAAAGAAAAGGGGGCACAATTAGAGCAAACAAAAACCTTAGATAGGGATTCCCCATTCAAAACTTAGACTACTTAGGTAATTTTCAGTGAAATTACCTATTAAAAAATCCCTCAGAAGATATTCTCCAGCTATCCTTGGAGTTTAACAATTTTTCTGCCCTTTCTTTGGAGAGTGATAAATTAGTGTATAATTTATAACAGAAGACTCAAAATAGGCCAAGACAAGACTGGCAGTCTTTTGATCCTCAGTTCATGAGGGAACATTTTTGAGGTTTGTGCTACAGAAGTCACCATGCAGATGTTTTTAATGCCTCAAGTAAAATATGTATTGAGCTGAAGTGGCAAATTACTTGTTTTCTCCTGCATACAGTCTTTCTTTAGAAAAAAAGTGCACTGATTCTCACCAAAAAAGTACTCTTTAACAGGAATAAAACTTTTCCTTTTTTGTTGTGTTCTCTTTTGTTTGCATGTCAGTATTTTAAAAAAATTAAATTTTGGGAGTAAGAGCCCTAATTCCCTTACTGAAGTGAGACGTACATGTTTTCTGTCCCAAAGAGGGTTGAACTCTCAGTAGGAGGTAGGTGTGTTCTCTTTTTTGAAAGAAGAGTAAAAATCTAATCAGAAACTATTTTATGATTTTATTAATTAAATGGTTCTACTTGACCTTTTCATGCTGCATAGTTCTTGAAGAATTTTGCCTTAATTTTTGTAGCAGTTTTGGTAGTTACTGTTTCCTGTACTTAAGAGAAAATAAGTCCATTAATTACTACGCACATTAGGCATATTGAAATTTTGTCCATGTTGATTTGATTTTGATAGACCCTTTAAAAATAACTATACATTGACTTTACAGTGGATGAATTACTGTTTAGGTCCATATCTTTCCTGAAGCTCACTAAAAGAAATTTCTACTGGCAATTCTCTCAGAAATTTTGAAAAATCCAATTACAGGTGTTTTTGAAAAATCCAGTTACAGTTTCCCCACTTTCTAAAGTACTTAATTTATATTTGCAATGCTGCTTGGGGGTTATCAATTACTAGTTTATGACCAATGCTTCCATCACCTCCTTCAACTGTTTTCTGAACAATTAGTTCCCCCAAGTGGCTGCATCAATCCAGCTTTGCTTTGCAAATCTTCAGGGATGGTGTCCTCTATGGAGCAGAATGACTGGGCAAAACCAACAAAAATAACCAGTGGACTTGCAGTGACAGAAAAATAATTTCCATTCTACTCAACTGCATCATCAGATCACCAAGGTTCCTAGACAATGCCCACTTTGAGGCTGACATGATTGGTTGCTGAAACTAGCAGAGGCATAAAGAAGCTGAAATACAGTATTTGATGATGTATCTAACAGTGTCTCTCAAAAAGAAGTTCTGTGCTTAAATAGAAATTAAATTCAGTCACTTATTTGTGTGGTTGCAGAGGCCAGGAACCATTTTGAGCCCTTAGTTCTTATACTGCCATAGTGAGAAAAATCTGTGTAGTTTCTTCAGCTGTAAAGGTGGAACAGGTTGTTAGTAATTACAGATTCTTTATGTCTAGCTTTCTTTATGCCAGTTTTCATTTCTTGATATGAAAATATTTTGATCTGCTTAAGACCTATTAATTTTGTTGACCTTAATATGAAATGAGTAGCTTATAACTTGAAAGGCTGTGCCTTCAAAAAAATGGAAAGCTTTTAAAGCTCACAAACACTGCATGAGAGGTGCTAAAAAAGCATTTAGATCTGCTAATAAATGTATTTTAAATTCACTGCAAAAGTGTCTAAAAATCTTGTATGTATATGTATTCTGACTCTTATATGTATTCTGACTTTGAAGACTTTCTTCCTTTATACAGTAGCACAAAAAAGGCTTTTTATAATAGGAGGTTGTGTTAAGCCATGCATTGCCCACATTATATATAGGAAGCTGCTTTTGAATAATGATTCACCTATAGTGATTACCTATAGTGATTTTTGATTAGTGTGGCTAATATGTTTCAGGTCTCAACTCAAAAAAGTTGCCTCAAAGCTGTTGGCCACTTGTGGTTCCGTGCAGAAATAGTATTTAATACATATTTTAAAAGTTATTTGTGATGGGACAATACAGAAATCTATAAAATCTAAATCTATGAGAAATTAAAAATTATATCTTAATTATTACTGTTGCCAGTGGTGCTAATATAGTGACTAAATTTCTCACAATGTGTTAACTTGTGTTTAACAAGTCTGCTTTAGTATGGGTATTTTTTATGTTATACTTTTCTCTGGGAACAGAGATACTGAAGCCAAGATGCTGGTGTGAGTGATGGGCAGGTAAAAAATTTCTTCCTTGTATCTAGTCTGAATCTACTTTATTTTTAAAACCATTACGCTTTGTCCTGTTTCTGCAAGCACTGTAAAAAAGTGTTGCTGTCTTTCTTTTCAGCCCCTTTCAGGTATCGTAAGGCTCCAATTAGGTCTTCTTGGAGCCTTCCTCAGACTAAATAACCCCATCTTTGTCCCAGCCTAACCTCATACAAGAGGTGTTCCATCCTCCTCATCATTTTTGTGGCCCTTTCTGGACTTGCTCCAGCAGCTCCATGTCTTTCCTGTGCCGAGGGCCGCAGGGCTGATGCAGTGCTCCAGGTGGGTCTCACCAGGTCAGAGCAGAGGGGCAGAGTCCCCTCCCTGCCCTGCTGCCCACGGTGCTCTGGGTGCAGCCCAGGACACTGTTTGGTTTCTTGAGCTGTGAGTACACGTTTGCAGCTCACAGTCAGCTTTTCATCCACCAGTACCTCCAAGTTCTTGGCAGAGCTGCACTGAATCACTTTGGCCCCACCTGTATTGATACCACATGCAGGAACTCATGAGCTTCCCACTTCTTGATCTTGTCCAGATCCTCCAGGTGTGCCAGCTGCATCTCTCAGCTTGCTTTTGCCTGCAGACTTGCTGAGGGTGCACTTAATGCCATTGTCTGTGTCACTGGTATGGAGCAGCACTGGTCCCAGTATGGACCCAAGGGACACCACGGATCACCCATCTCCATACGGGCATTGAACTGTTCACCATGAGCATCCAGCCAATTCCTTATCCATCCAATAGCCCATCTATCAAGAGAGTCTGTACCTCTTCGATTTGGAGAAAAGGACTGTGTGAAGGACCTCTCCTGTGTACACTTTCAAACAACAGAGGAAAGCAATTCCGGAAGTTGAGAAAGTGGCGTAATCTAATTTTTGTTTTCTTAAGTTATGTTAGATCTGTATAAACTTTAGCATGTATCAATATATAGTTAATAGTGCAGAAAGGATGTTTCAGGCAAAAACAGAAGACTGAATTAGAGAGGAAACTGGAGGACTTCTTAAATGCAAACTATATACCCACAATCTTAGATTACTGTATGATTTACCTCTGCAAGGTGACAGTTTATGCTAAAAATAGTTGTAGCTTATTCCCACGCTGAAAAGCGCCACTAGAAATTTTAATGTTGAACATCCTCTTTAATGGAGTCCAATTAATGTAAAAAAAAAGTATTATTATTTCAATGTGTTCTTCTGCTAAGAAGAGTCTTTTGGAGACCATTTAAGGCATCCAGAAAGCATCCCACTACTCACAGAATTTCTTGAAATGCCCTATAATCCTAATCCCTTAAAATAATAAACTTGCACAGTCTGTAAGGAGGACTTTTCTAAATTATAAAATGCTTATTGCACAACTAGCAAATCACATTTATGTTCAAATCAGATCTAATTATATATAGCTTTAAAGATACAGCTTAAAGCTTCTAGAACTTTAACAAATTATTTTGTTCCTCCTTTGGAATACCAGAATAAGTTTTCTAAGTGTATTTGAACATTCTGTATCTTAGTGTTTATGTGAATGGTCTACAGAGATTTTCCAATCTTGCATTAAAATACTTCGTTATATTGTTTATTTTTCTAAGCCAGTTTAAATTGCACAAAAGCACTCTTATGTAAACATAGTTATAATACTCTTTAAAAAATTGAATACTAAAAAGGTAAGAAATGTGAGATTCCTCTTTTGGCTTCCTCTTTCCACCTCGTGTAATGTTGGTTACCTGAGTTAAGTCTACATTTAATTCCCATATCCCACCCTGACTCTTTGGCCTGGACACTTTTCAAGTCTTGTCCTTTTTCTGCTTGCCCTGTATATTCTGCTGTTTCTCTTCTACACTGTCAGCTCTGCAGTTCAGAGATAAGGAGAGGCCATTTCCTTTTTCCAGCTTGGGTGCTTGGACCTAAAGCCATAGTTCAGGGAAAATCCATCCAGCCTGAAGCAGGAGCACACTCAATAGAATGTAATCATTGGAAAAGTTAGCTGCTTGAAGTGTCTACTGAACACATGCCCAGAGCCTACAGCTTTGCCTAATTTGGGTAGCTTTTCACAGATAAAAGAGACATTGCTGTGTCATATATGAAGGTCTTCACCTGATGCACAGATGTGTCACTAGATTATTTTTTCTTTATTTCTTTATTTTTAATTTTTTAATGCAGACATACTGAGAATGGCTGGTGTTTTCTGTTGAAATTAATTTTAGAAAATTTTCTGATGCAAATACCCAGAACAGAATATTCCACCCAGGTAGTTATTATTAGCAAAGGTAGAAACAAATGCAAATTAATCGCTGTAATGTATAGATCTGGGAACTCATGGTTTGTAGGTTTTATTCCTAATCTTACTTTGTACAGGTGTTTAGCAAAACTGGTTTTGAATAAAGAAGTCCAAATTCTGTTTTCTATAATATCTGCCGTTTATTTGCATGGAATTATGGAAAGTGTAAATGAGCATAGAATTTAGTCCCTGTGTTAAAACTACTCAATAAAGCTACTGAATCTTCATTTTTTGAAGCATTTTGTTTTGCTGCTGTTGACTGTCTGCCATGACACTGAAGCTAAACCATCCCATCTGTTTGCCACATTAACCAGCTTTACTCAATTATTAAGCTATCACCTTGCATTTGGCATGCAATGTATTAGATTTTAAAGTGTATTTTGATGAGAGAAAAATGGCAAAGAGCAAAAAGCCATAGTTTTCTTAATGCATTAACTGGAAGTTAATGTTTTATATTGCCATTTTGTGTTGTCTTTTTCTGGGTTCTGTTGGTTTTGGGGGTTTGGTTGTTTGGGGTTTTTTTGTTCTGGGATCTATTTATAACTGAAGCACTTTTGCAGGTGGTGTTTTTTTGCATGCTAATCCTGCAGAGAAACATTGTGTCCAACAAAGTATGCTGGGTCAGCAAAAGCAAGAAACTTGTGCTGGAAAGACAGTATCCACAGGTATTTAGTGTGTATGGAGATTTGGCAAAATGAATGATTAACTATCATTGGCAGAAAAAGATCTGATGTTGTATCTTAAGACATTGTGCATTTTTTTCTTTCCCACAGAAAAGATACTCTTCCTTTTAAAGTCAGCAAAAGACTCAGCTGGATTAATATTCATTGAATACTCATTAATCTTCATCTGTATTCTGTCTTTTCCTTCAAAACAAGATTATTCTTTTTTTGGTGTTATTTTCTCTCGTGTTAATTCACACACGAATGACATACATACGTGCACAACTGAGGTGGACCTACAAAGATTATTTAAAAAATGAACACTGCTACTCAGTGGTTCCTGTGGTGGCTGTTTGGTGGTTATTTTCAAAATTGACCAGACAGTACTGAAAATTATATTTCTTCGGATACTTTCTATGGCATCTGAGTTCAGCAATGTTGTGTTCTTTACATCGGGAACAGACTATAAAGGAAGTGCAAATAAGGCAGACTAGGCTGAGGTAGACCAGACTTGGATGACTTGGGAAGGCAGGGGAACCATGAAGAAGCAGCACCCCATGGAAGCTCCATTTCCTCCAGAGGAGTCTTCCTAGCATGGATCTATCAGAGAATTTAATGCATCATTGATTTTTGTGTTGGTGTGTCACTGTCCACGTCTATACAATTTTAAGGTTATTTAGAAGGGATGAAAGCTTATGACATCCTGCAGGTATCTGAGGGATTTGATGCTTGCAGGTCCTAGCATGGTAACCATCAATCTTTTAACAGAGACTTTTAAAGTAAATAGGTTGAACTGCATTTGGTTTAGCCTTGTGTGTAATTATTTAAAAGTGTGTACCTGTTGTCCCAATTCCACACTCATCTGAAAGACTGAGAACACAGCAGGTAAAAATGAGCTTCACAACCTTCAGATATTAAATCTAATGCTTTCCTTTGTTATTAATGAAAATTTTAAAGAAAGTATAAAAATTGTTACCTTCCAGTGAAGGATTTGCAGATTTACTTGTGGAAAGAGTGTTGTCTAAAACGAAGGGCCATCCTCATAAATGCCATTGCAGAGCCTCCCTTAACTGAAACTTCCCCTTCTTAGGTGAGCAACTTCATGAGATTGCATAGGCACAAAGGCTTTTTCTCAGGTCACAGATGACAAGTCAAAATGAGTCCTTTGAATCAGAGACAGAAATAATTTGGAAGAAACAGAATGTCCCTGAGAGATGCATATGAGGTTTCCAAGCTGCCTTTGCACAAGCCAGCCAGCCAGAGCATATTCAAGTCCTTCAGTGTGGTGAAGACATGAATTACTATAGCACTTGCTGTGTGCAAAGGAAGTTGTGGAAACTTTTCACCAACTATAAATGGAAAACAGAATTTTGGTCACTGATGGTACTTGCATGCTCTGGGTGGGGTCAGCAGAACCTCCAGTCTGTGAATTGACTGGCTGCTTTCTCCTGATCCAAGATGCTAAGTAGTCTTGCACCAGTTCTTCCAGTCAGCTTTCCTAGTCTGCAGGCAAAATGTTAACAGAGCCTGAAGCATCATCAGGCAGCTAGTCTGCATCTAGCCCTTCTCTATATTTAGGCACTGGCTAAGCAGCTTAGCTACAGTAGATGTGTTGGAGGGGAGGGAAATGCAAAGTCGAGTGTTCCTTTGCTTACCAGAAGCACTGCAATGAATAATTGTGCACTAGAATGTCTAACGTTAACTTGTGAAAAAGTGGGGGGACAAAAAAAAAAAAATTGTACTGAAGGTTGGTACCAAACAACCTGGAAAACTTAGGCTAAAATTACAGTAGTTGGAAAAAGTTTTTGTATAAAAATCCCTTCTCAAACAGTTATATCAATTCTTAGTATTGTGTTACCTGTGTAAGAAAGGTATTGATCTAAACAGACCTTGTTTCAAAGAGCATCTTGCGTTTCATATTGATGAAGGTTTTGGCTTTTAGAGCAACACTCTCCTGTGGAATGCTGAGAAAATATGTGGAGATTCTTTATAGAAAAGTAATTTCACTGCTTAATTTTGCATTAGGCAAGTCAATGCATTTGAGAAACATACGGTTATTTTTAAAACTAATGCTATACATTATTTCTACAAATATTTCCTCCTAAGTTCAAATTAACCTTGCTTTTATGGCTGTCATTTGTAGAGGTGACATGTCCACAGCAAACCTTCCACCTTTTCCTGTTACCATTGGTGGAAGAGTGGGTGCCTTGTAACTTGGAGTAGCAGGGGTAGTAATCTGCTTAAATGCTGGCATTCCCAAAAGTTATATGCAAATCAATGAATGAAATTTTGAAATAAAAAAGGAGAGGAACAAGAGAAATGAGAGAGAATGGAAACAGCTTCATGTTGAATATTGTGGCAAGCTAAATAGCTGCAGATTTGGAGGAAGTCTTTATTGTCAGTGTCTGACAAGCATAATCTGGAGAAATAAGAACTGATTGTGTCCCCTAAAAGGAAAGTACCCTTATTTTGTTATCTGCTGTATTTAAGTTACATGGTTTGAGCTGTAACTATCATTGAAGTTCAGGGCTAGCTTGGTTAGTGATTACAATACTTTACATAGTTTTATTCTTCTTCTCAACTACTTAAATCGTTAACTCAAAAGCAACAGGAAGATACCTTGTGGGAAACAAATCATCATCTGACTAACATAAATCTTAGTAGCTGAAAATGTAAAGATTTCTATATATTTAGTGACTAGATTAAAAAAAAATAAAAATTTGAGACTCTAAAGTGCTGTAGGGAAATATTTTTAAACATATCATGTTTCTGCTTTTTCCAGGTTGCACAAGCCTGGATTTATCCCTGTGTGCAGGGATCTCTATTTATGTAGGACTTCTGGGTGTACTGTAACCCAGTCTGCACAGAACGTCTAGAAATTCAGAAGGTCTCTACAGACACTGAGCAGAGAGAAAGTTATGGTGGTGCCCAGTAGTTTCACTTAACTGGAGTATAAAGAAAGTGCATAATGAACATGCAATAGATGGCAATAAAAGGATCAAAGGCTTATGCCCTGCATAGTTATTGCTCTGTGAATCTGCTGATCAAAGAGTTTTGAAAAGCATCAGATCTACTAAATATGAACTGCACAGTTTATATGTGATTGCTCAGTGAATCCAGCATGTCCTGAAGGCAGTGGCTTTACTGCACATGTGCACACCATGAATATGCATATGTATCTGTCCAGGAGTTCTGGTCATGAAACATGATAGGTCTGTAGCTTGCTGCAAAGTGTGTGATGTCTGAGAAGAACATCCAGGATTAAGATAAATTTACTGGAGTTTCCAGTGTTTGTACTAATTCACAGTTACCTTTTTAAGTTCAGAATCACCTATAAATGTGTTTGTAATACAAGTCTTTAAAATGGCAAGGAATGGAAATTTTCCTATGGAGTTACTGTACTACAATATTTCAAGGTTGAGGCATTTACTTGCATGTATTCAGTTCAAATGTGATTCCTCTCAAATGAGTTTTGCTTACGTCCGAATTGCCTTTCTGCCTGGAATCTTTGTAGCTGAATTGTTAGTGGTTGCAATTTCCATTTTTCCAGGAAACCTATTCCAGGTTTGGAGAACTGGAGGCATCAATAATTGTATTTGAGAGAGAGTAATGAGACCAATAGATGAAATGGTAGTGGTACAATTAACTATGTATCAACTCCTTTTCTGTGGAGTCTGAAAGGTCAGCAGGTGTCTTTGCTGCCTAATGCATATTATATCATATGAATCATATTGTTTTCCTTTGTTTGTTTTAATTATCCTCACATTTTTTACTAAAAACATTTGCAACTTTTATGAACACAAATAGAAACAGGAAGAAATTGTTATCTAACCTTGATAAATTACATCTTTCAAGAAGGTGTTTAAATAATTTACTGCAGTAGTTCTGTTGTGCATTAGTGGCACCTGAGTAATTTTTGTGATTGGGTATTTGACAGTAGTTAATATTCACATATTTTTTTCAAGTCCTCTTTGATTTTATTGTACATTATTTGCATGTTTTGTAGCAGTAATTTTTCTAAGACTCCCATCAGGAAAACTTTGGTCTGTATATAATAAAACCCACAAATTCTAAATAGTAGAGAATGTCTAAAAGATGGCATGATTCTTTTTGAGATAGATGATCAGAGCTGGTGCTCAGAGAAGTTTTGTGTCATGGAGCTTAAATCCTGTCCCTGTTTTTCCAGCAGAATATTGTGAGCATGCTCTCACAGCTTTACCAGAGGCTTATGGGTGTATTTGTTCTGAAATGTCATGTACTTTCTAACCTAGAAGGAAACATTCAATTAAGATTTGATTAACAGGAGGTTTTTTTGCAAATCTGTTTTCAAGTATGTTGCTTCTTACAGTGCTTTTGTCTATGAAACTTTTGCAATTCTAGATTTAATTTGGTGTTCATTTAAATACCTAAATATTTTTAATAATCTTGTGTTAATAGTGTCCTTTGTAAGCAGTTTTATTTTTGAGAGAGTAATTTTTCAAAAATACTGTGTATCATATTACATCTGTGTTATGTTATTCTTACAGATAAACAGAAGTCCCCTTCGGATATAATACAAAGTTTTCAGAAGAAAAGTCAGTTTAGGACCATTGCTCCAAAAATGGTACCAAAAATTTTAACATCCGGAGTGGTTTCTTGCCTTCAGTCATCTTTGCCTGAGCCAATGACAGCAATTTCAGCTTCAGGTCCCAAGCCCCTGGTGGTGCCAGCTCAGAACTATGCTGTCATGCAGGTGGCTGCTCACAAGGGCACGTTTTCCCTGCTGGCTGTGCCGTGTGTTGCGCCTGCCCTAACACAGCAAGTTCAGCAGTCAACTGTGGCCCCCTCTGAAAACCTAAAGCTGCCCATCCCCAGGTACCAATCTGTAAGGAATAAATTGCTGAGTGACAGAAAACCAGCACAAATCTCTGGTCTGAGTGCATGTCACAAGATTCCTACCAAAGCCCTGATCTCATCACAGACTTCCCCTATGACTACTCCACCTGAAGAGTGTCCTGAAGCTCATTCTAGTTCAGATTCAGCTGAGCAAGTGATGATAGCGGCCTGTGACTCAGCTGAAATTGGAGTTGCCACATTACTGAATAAAGGCAATCGTGTGGAATCTAGATCTCTTGTAATGAACAAAACTAAAATTGCTAGCGATAATATCTCTGGACCATCTGTAGTTGAAGATTCTCCATCAAAGCCAGCAAGTACAACTAATCCCATGAAACTAAGTCTACATTCTGTGAAGACAGCATCAGAAACCCCAAGAGAGTCACTCCTGACATCTGAGAAACTAAAGGAAAAACCCACAAATTCTACAAGTCCTGTTGCTGTTTTGTCATCAGCGGTTTTTGGCAATACAATTCAGATGGCTCCATCAGCACCAAAAGGACAACTTCCTATTTTGCCTTACTCCAGAATGAAAAATTCAGTGTTCTGTAAATCTAAGCAGAATATTAATGTTATGGACATAGCTGGTCATTCGCTAAAATCTGAATGTGAAAAGATACCATGTTTGAAAACCAAAGCCTTTGATAAGCAGTTAGGGGTATCATTTACACAAGTTCCCAAACAATCCATTCGAGAAAATACCTTCTCTCCACCCAGCAAAGAGGATGATGTCGACAGTCTTAAAAAATTGAGCAGTGCAACCCCTAAAAGAAGAGGCAGGAAAAAAAGAGCCCCAGAAGATTTATTGGCTTTTCAGGCCAAGCGAAGGAAATGCATCATTAATAAGTTTAGAGAAGGAAGAGAGAGGGCAAAGGTTGATATTCAGACACCTGAAGACAATAAAGCAGAAGCAGTGAAAAAATACCGCAGTATCAGACCAAAACCAGTGGTGGTTGTGCAGGCGTTCGCACCGCTGACTCCTGCAGCAGTCGTAGAGACGCCGTCTCGCGAGCAGGACTTAATTTTAAATGGTTCACTCACCAATAAGTATGTAAGCTCCAAGCACAGTGACGCTACATCAGCTAAATCAAGTGATCTGAGCAGAAATACATGTTCAGCCGTCCCGAAGGCGCTGCACAGATGCCATGTTTGTAACCATACGTTCCAGTTCAAGCACCATCTCCAGGACCACATGAACACGCACACGAGCAGGCGGCCCTACAGCTGCAGGATCTGCAGGAAGGCATATATCCATTCTGGGAGCCTGAGCACACATATGAAGCTTCATCACAACGAAGGCAAATCCAAAAAGCTGGTGTGCTGTGAATTCTGTGCTAAAGTTTTTGGCCATGCAAAAGTGTACTTTGGCCACCTCAGAGAAGTCCACAGGGTTGTTATCAGCACAGAGCCCTACACTAGCGAGCAACTGGTGCAAGACACTTTAAAGAAGAGAGACAGGAATGTAAAAGAGGCAGAAGCTGCAGAGAGGTGAGAGTTTTCACTAATTAAATGCTAATGAAAACTGGATTTCACATTGTCAGTGGAAATTAATAAACCTCACCATTATGAAAATTGTTGCATTTTTCCACTAAGTGAGATTCCTAATTGTTTAAATATTCCATTTGAATCTAGTCAATCCATTAGACCAACCAGTATATTTTAGCTGATTTACTATATATCAGCTAAATCATTAGCTGATTGTCTATAAATCATTATTGACACTTGAATATCCAAAATAATTTTGCATATATTCTAGTAATGCCCAATATACTGCCATATTTGGGTCAGTTGGTTTCTCATGGTTAGTGCTTCGTCTTCTGTCCCACCCACTTTGGGGTTTTCCCTAGAAGGTAAGGGAACCAATTGCAGTAAGCAAAAAACAATTCATATTTCAGTGTTAGCCTGTAGTGTGCTTTCCCTGTTAAATGTCATTATGCCACTTCCTTTTAGGGAATGCCGTGAGCTAATCTGTCCTGAGTTTACTGCTGCTTTTGCAATCACTCAGCAAAACAGAAAAGTTAACATGCAGTGTATTAAGATGGATAGAACATACTTTTACCTCTGTATTATTATTTTGAGGTGAAATCTCTTGATATAGTATAAATGTTGCCTTTTTTGTTTGTTCCAGTGCATTTATTTTCACTGAAGAACACTCGGGGCTTCAATGTAGCTCCTCACTGCAGTTCCATTCTACTCATTTTACTTTTCATAGCTCCACTCTCAGGAGCATCAGTCAGAAACTTTTACAGTCTTGAGACTAAGAAATACCAGTCCTTTTCTGTCAGTCTTAGTAGCTGTCATACAGTGAATCATTCAGTTTATCTGTTTTGTTGGGTAATCTGTCTAATATGTATAAATACACAGTGCTATAAAGTCCATCTTGCACATGTTATGAGAAGATGTCTGAGGAGATCTTGTTTTGATTGTGTTAACCAGGGACTGCCTGTGTATCCTTTATATTACAGAACTGTCCTAAATCAAGGGGAGGGGCTGTCCAATTGCCTATTAGTATTTAAACTTTTCTAAACTATGTCACCAGCTTGTAGAAAAAAAAGGCAAGAAACTTAGAAATTTCACAGTTTCCATCTTGGAAAGGGAGATGGTTTTGCCTCAAATTGACTTAGATCACTCACTGTTAACAAGTAGGTTTCTCTTACTTGTACACTACAGGTAATAGCAATTTTCACTTTTCTAGCACAGCACTAGAAATATTTGGATTGACCTCCCCTGAATCAGGAACTTTAACAAAAATTATCAGTCTTTTATTAAAGGATGGTGTTGTTAAAAGGTTATTTCCACCAAAGCTAATTTTTGAGGCAATTCTTAAACTCAGAAGTGTCATTTGGTTTCAGTTTTTTCCTAATCAGCCTTACTAGTTTTTATTTACCTTCTTTTTCCTTTTCCTCTTCCATATGAATTAGATACTGTAGAAAGAATGCCCTTTTTTAATTAAAAGTGTTTAATGACTGTCATCTCTTCTTGGAACTTGTAAGGACAGAAATTGCCATCCCTCTTCTCTGCCTGGCTAATATTTAAATAGTTTGTATTTCCATTTTTTTAACAGGGGAAATAAGTGCAATTTTGAGGACCTGTTCCATAACCCGGGAGGAGTGAAATTACAGGTCAAATGTGGTCGATGCCAGTTTATTGCAGAGTCTTTTGGTGAAATGAAGTTTCACTTATTGTGCTGTCATGGAGAAGAGATTCAGGGAAGAGTGAAGGAAGGGGTTTTGCAAGGAAGCAGAGGAACAAAGGGGAAACTGGTCAAACACACAACCCACGTGTGGAAACAGCACAGTGAGAGAAGACATTTAGCAAAGTGCAGTGCCCATCAGGAGGAGCTGTATAATGTTCCAAAACCAAAGAGACAGATGTACTTCCACCATCAAAATAATGCCAATAATGTACCTAAAAGTGAACCAAGCCAGTCAGGAAGTAGTGAAGCCTCTAAGGAGATGCAAAATGTGGGGTTTGGCCCACAAAGAAAAAAAATAGAATTTTGGTCAAAAGCAGGCTATAACTGCATTTTATGCAAACAGTTATTTGGAAGAAAAGAGGATCTTTGTAATCATTGGCAGACTCATCATAATTGTGAAGACCCTTCCACTTTATGGACAATTTTTACTTTGGTATCAAAACAAGGAATTATTGAACTTTCTGATAATGGTGAATATTGAAGCTCAACTCTACAATGCTCTGAAAAACATTAACTACCTTACCAAGTTGTTCTTTCACTGTCTTGCTAAACTAACTCAGCAGATGTATCATTAAAAGGTTTATTAGTTGGGTTTGTTGGGGATTTTTTAAAAAGCCATATTAACCCTTATTTTGGTGACTAGAAAATGTGTTTATTCTGTATCATTCCAGATGGGTACATGGAAGCTGATTATGAATCCTTGTACTTAAAATTCATGCTTAAGGAGCTTTATAACAGCAAATACTCAATACTAATTATTAACCTCAATGAAATATATTTGCAAGTTAAATTATACTGTACACACAGAAATAAATTTATATGAAGAAATCTTAGTCTTAAATGCAATTAAAAACCTGACTGGAAGTCAGGTCCCAATTGTGCTCCCAGATTTTGTGGTAAATGCATATTTCCATGCAGTTCTCTCCATCACTTAATTGTGCATACATGCAGCTAGCACTCAGGAGCTTTATAGTCTATAACTTAAGAACTTCTGATTCTTGTTTTCTTGATTTCAGTGTCTTCAAAAATGTTCATTGCTTGCAGGTGTTTTTGGTGCTCTTTTCTGTCCTGGTAACAGCAAAGATATTTGTATTTTAGGAGTAAAAACCTCACATGTATTTTTTTATGCCTGTACCTTTTTGGGTTGAAGATTTGTTGCCGCCCATTGAGATGGAGCCCAGCACATCTCCAAGGGGGCAGGTCCTGTAAGAGGGTGGAGTTCTGGAGCTTGGTTTTGGTGAAAAGGTCATTGAAACCGTTGAATCCAATTTGAAATTGATGTTTAAACTGCTTAAAGCCTTATGTTCCTCTGAATTATTTCGGGAGCAATAATGGAGGCAAGTCTAAGAAATCACCACATCATTCTCCAGCAGAAGTCAGAGCACATCAGAGGACAAGAAAAATACAGCAGTAGTGTCCCTACAGTACCACTTTATTCATTCCTTCTTGTGGTCAGCTGTAATTGAGGGATTGCAGTGATAAAAGAGTCATGCCTAAAATGGCCTGGGTTGCTTCTCACTGTTTTGCAAAAATTATGGTCATGAAAACATGAGAAGAGGTCTAAAAGTGTTGAGCTTTCTGAGTGGGATTCCACAAGCTGTTGCAATATTTTGTGTATGTGTTTTGTTTTTAACAGTAAAGGCAGTTTTGATGACCTAATAGTTTTGAATGTGATTTCTTGTGGTGTGGTGCTTTGCCCTGAAGTTGAACTGTAAGGTAGGAATCAAGAATAACAAAAGACAAAAAGACAATGCCCATAGAACTGTATTTTCCCATGGATTTTCAAAACTTTCAAATATGTTGCTATAAATTCAGATTTGTAGCTGTTTCTTTGCTTTCATACATTGGGATTTTTATGCTGAATTACCTTAAAATTAGTAATTGTTCTTATTCTTGACACATTCATTTTTTAATGTTACGATATATTATACATTATTCGTAATGTTACAATATATTCATATTTATTTTCACTGGCATATTTGGACAGGAACAGCTGTTTTTAAAGTCAGTGTTTCACATCAGACTGAGGCTGTATTTAACTTAGTAGAGTGTGTTGCATTTAGCAGCATTTTTTGCCTCTGCAACTTAATCCTTTAACTTTAAAAATCAAACAGCAGGGTGTTTTCCATGAAACAGAAATGTGAGAACAATCCCTCCTTCCCATAGTTACACTGTGGCAAAGGGAAGTTCATTCCCAGCATAAAACATGCATTTTATGAGTTGGGAAAAACCATTTAAAAGTTTTGATCATGATATTTTTTTAGAGTGAACATTAAATCACCCATCCCAAGGTATAGTTTAAAATGAGCTGACATAAATTCAGTACTGAGACAGAGTCCCTTCTGTTCAGGAACAGCAGCAGCCATGGCAGAGTGGCCCTTTAAAATTATTTTCAAAAGGTATTTTTTAAAAACAGTGGTGCATCAGAGCCAGTGATGTAGATGATTTGTTTGGGGTGGTCACCAGGGAAGAGGTGCACTTTCCCTGGAGGGGGAAGTAAGTGCTGGTGGGAGGAAGGGACTGGAATAAGGGAGTCAGTTGCATTTTCTTTAGTCAAAATTTTCATGTGCAGTCTTCTCATATTTTTGTACTTCTCTCCCTTTCTCCAGGCCAGATGGGTAAAGGGGTCTCAGCTTTCAGTGGTTTAAAACCTGAAAACATGTTTTAAAGCGTGGTTCTAATCCACTTCTCAGTGTCCTCATAAATGTTTAAAATTAGAAGTCTTTTTTTTTATGAGCCTGAAAGCATTCTTATGTTTCAGGCTATTACACTTATGGTAGATTATGAAAGATTGGGATTTTTTGAAAATAGCTTTGCATTAAATACAGATGTGTCCTTTGTTTAAAATGTGTTTGTTTGGCATTTGTGTTCATTTTGATAAGATTTGAAGGCCTGAAGTGAGCCTTATATACTGCAACTTTTAGTAGTACGTGTTTGCTGTCCAGCAGAAGGATTGTTATAAATACAGTTTGCTGTTTACCTTGAAGCTGGACAAGTTAACATCTGGTTTTGCACACAAATTATGTTTTTAAATTGTTAAACCGAATGTTATTGTTTTTGTAGCTGTAGTTTTGTTCCCCTCTGATTTTTCATTAAGTCTCTCTTTCAGCTCCACTGTTCAACTTTAAAGCCATTCCTCACATGGAAAGTTGTTCCTTCATCATCACACCATAAATAACCAAAGCTGGAGGAGTTCCATCACTTTTCTGGCTTGCAGAGTATTGCCCTTCTCCAGCTGCAGAGCTACAGTTTCCTATGTCTAACTTGACATAGTTGCTGGCAGTAAATGTTTTGCTTCATTTATTTATTAGAATTCAGCTTGCTGCTTTTTAGCTCAATCGGAGTTGCTGTCATACCTCATTAGATACTTATTTCATCTACTATTCACTGAGCTCTTTGAAGAAAGTGGCATAAGAAGGATGAACAGGTATTTAAAGGAGCAGATTTCTGCCCATTTCATGCAGGTGATGCTGATGTTTGAGGATCACCAGCTTATCTAGGCTCAGCCATGTAGTACATTGTATTTCTACAACACATCCACCTACACGTGCATCTGTTTTGGAATGAAACGTATACTTCAAATTCAGCTGTCAGTTTCTGTTATCAAACCTTTGCAATGTAGGTTTGGGATTGTTATGCATAAAGATTAAAATGCTATTAAGTGTAGTAGGTTTACTTGTCAAATTCCATATACTCTGAAAAATGAAAATCTCTGTGTGCTGAGTATGACACAGAAAAAATCTGGTCTCATGAAGAAAAGTCTAATGGCTTAAAGGTTGTCCTCATTTCAGTGTGCACTTTTATAGCTGATCTGTCACATTACAGGATTTTCTCCACTTTTTATTAAATTGCCATAATTTTTGTGGGTGAGGAGTACTGAAGAAGACCTGAGTCTGCAAGCAAGTTTCAGTGAAAAATGTGTCTCGTTTTTTCTAAACAAGCAGAAATGTTCCATGGACTCAATAGTCTTGGTGGCATTATATATATATATATATAATATATATACACACACACATATATTATGCACAATGTGGGGAAACAAGGTTTGGGGTTCAGTGTATGACTCTATGAGGCTGACCATTCTGCAGTTCTCAAGTTCTCAGAAACTAGAAATTTCAGTGTAAAAATAACTTGGTTTTCGGACTTGGGTGAATTTCTAATACCTTATTGACAAACCTTCAAGAAATCCTGAAAAATGGCAATAACATACGTCTCTATTTGTGCTTTGTTAGGCAATTTTTTGGACGTGGTGGTACCAGAGGTGGTGTAAAATATGATACTGCTGATGCTGTCAAGTACAAAGGAAGCTTTCTCCCTTTCATTCTTTTAATAATTTTATTGACTTTTCTGTGTAAGCATTAGAAATGATGGGATAAATTATGATCTTTGCTGCTGACAAACCCAGAAACATCATTCTGAAGTTACTTTGCAGAAACTTCCCATTTTCATCTAGAATAAGAGATGAACCCAGAAAAAGCAAGTTCTGTAGGAAAGAGATACGTGAGCAAAGTGTTCCACATGAGGCTCGCTCTGCACACTTACACTGCTGTAGGTGATGTTTACAGATCTTCTACTGATGCAAACAGTTTGTTCTTATCTAGAGTTACTTGTCTTGACCAATGGAAATAAGAATTAAAAAATGTCCATGCCTTCTCTTTTGAATTTTTCTGCTAAATATTTCCGCTGTTATACAGTCCAGATTGTGGTCCAAGCCATGAAGATACTCAAGCACTTTCTAGGAGCCTTAGAGCAGATTTCAGTGGAGGAAAGGGAAGGAAATGTGTGAGGGAAGGAGTGATGATGGAGGTTGGCACAATGTTCTGAATGTAAGTTCAAGCTTCTGTATGACTGGCTTTGGTGGAAGTGTCCTGAAGCCTTAAACTTCTGCATTCCACCCCCTTTGTTACATCATTCCAGACCCTGCTTCCATGTGAGGTACTTCAGTCTGGAGCACCCTCAGCTTCCTTAGGCATGAGCTTTTCCAAATGGCACAGATTCCTTTGCCAGTGTCCCCTTCTTTTGGCGTCTCAGTTTCATGCTGGTAGTTAGGTGAGCCACGTGCTGGCTGATACCAGCTGCTGCCAGATGTGCAATGTGGTCGTTCAGCTTTCTGAGGAAAACATCTTTTAGCTTTAGTCCATAAAAATGAAATCAAAAGCTGCATCTGTGCTTAAAAAAGTAGGAAAATGGTTCACTGAGTTTCCTGCAGATGGAACACTGATAAGTAGTAGAGTAAAAAAAGTTAAGTGTTGCTATAAGAAAAAGCAGCTGCTGAATGTGATTTGGGTTATTTATGTGTCATTGTAAAAGCCTAGAATGTCCTGTCACCTGGTTAGAATTGAATAATGGAATCAGAGAAGTTCCATAAAAGTGTCTCACACAGATATGATGGCATGAAGCAGCAGTTCAGAGACACTGACTGAGATCTCACCTTGCCTTGCCTCGCCCTGCCCCTCTTTTTCATCATCCAAAGCCTGGGACTGAGTAGCTCTGAACACTCCTCTGCAGAATGTTTCAGGAAAACAGGTTGCAGGGGATGCCAGGCCAGCGTCCTGCCCAAAGCAGGGCTCAGCAGCAGCCCAGGAGCAGAGCAATGTTTTTGCTTTTTGGAAGCCACTTCTGTTGCAGTTCCCACTGGTCCATTGCCAGTGTGAGGGTCATGAGTGTAATCAAGGCTCCAGTGTGTCAGCTGACACTTCAAAGCACTATCACAAGCAATTTTTTTACTTTTTTTTTTTTTTAATAAAACGTGACATTTGAGACAAAAAAAAAATAAATCCCCACAACCCCAAATAAAGTTCTAGTTTCAGCTGGCAGTCCTTTAGTAAGTGTGAGCTTCTCTCAGCACAACCCCCTGGCTTTGTTGCTTCAGACCGTGGCCAAGCCTCTTGTCTGTCCATGTGAAGCAGCTCACGCTCCTTTGACTCTGCTTTTTCTGGGACCACAGGCTCTCTACTTTTCACATGCAGTGAATAGACTAGGTTTTTGGTTTTTTTTATTTTTCTACAGTTGATTTAATATAAATTAAAGCATTTTATTTGCTGAATACTCAGTAATTTTGTGCAGGTTCAGATTCAATCTGGCTTTTGAACATACACCTGATCAAGGAGATCCATATACCTTCCTATTGCTAGAGCAGTAAGTGACACAGTGAGGGAGGAAAGAAAGAAATGTCCCTGTGACAATACCTTTGAAGGAATGCAGTTGCTTGCCTTTCACAGGAAGTTTAATTTCTTCATGGTTTTGGTTAAAAGCTTCTAATAATTTTGACTGCAGCAAATACACTCCTATACTTTGCTATTCAAATAAATCCTTTTTCAGCTCCAAGTCCTTGGAGTTTGAATCCTGTCCAGCCATATTCTGCTATCTGCCAACTCCTTGCTAAGTGCAGACCTGACACACTTGCCAATAAATCCACCTTTGTGCCATTTAAAGTCATCTGCTCTCTTTTCTCTGGAGCTAATCAAAGTTTGCAAGAAGACTTTTTTTTAAGGGGAACTGGCTCTAGGATTCAACTGATTTAAATTGCCAGGTAATTAAAAGAAATTGCAGTGAACTATAAAATAGAGAAATAGTACAGACTGTTTGAAATCTCACTTATTTTTAATAACTTTTATGAATATTTGGAGACAAAGTTTTCTAGGGTAGAATTTAGGGGGTTTATGCTGTTTTACGTGCTACTCTCCTAATCCACTTTTTAGACTCCCAAGCCCAGTACAGCAGAGCCCAGCCCTGCTCCTTAAGCTGATTGCAGCCTGTTAAACTGAAAGCACAATTTTATTTTTACCTTGTGAGACAGCTGGGCTGATAAATGGATGGGCTACCAGCTCTCCAGGAGACAACTGCAATGTCTGCACAGGTTAA